TATCTTATCTTCTTTTTCATAGTGGCCGTGAATAATAAGATTTATTTATCAGGTCTTATTTAATTGATAATAGATCTAATCTAATATTCAAAACCAAGACTAAACATTTGATCAGCTTCATCCAATACAACATATGTACATCTTTACATATTTGTAGCCTTCTTCTTAACCATTTCAATCAACCTTCCTGGTGTAGCTACTATAATATCTACTCCTGCTCTTAATTCTTTCCATTAATGATGTTTATTTTCTCCTCCTAACAATGCACTAACACTTATATTAAATAATTAAGCATATTTCTTAGTTTCTAAGAATACTTGTTATCCTAACTCTCTTGTAGGTACCATTATTAATCCAATAGGTCCTTCTTTTTTTTCTACTGCCCTCTATGCACTTACATGAACAAGCATTGGCCAAACATAAGCAATTGTTTTACCTGATCCTGTTTTTGCTACTCCTATTACATTCCTTCCTGATAATACACATGGTAATGCCTAACTTTATATTGCTGTTGGTTTCTCAAATTTCTATGCTACTATTTTATTCACCAACTTTTAATCCAATTAAAGATGACCAAATGATATTATAGGTTTCGGTACATCATTACCTTTTACATGAATCTAATATTCTCGTTTTATTTTCTCCACTTATCCTATACTCAAATTTGATATCTCCTCATGTTCTTAATAAAAGTTTGTCTCAAATTCCTCATATTAAATTTAAGAATGATCAATTGCTTATAATGGTTCAATATTCTTCTTCTTCTTCTCTGCTTCTTCTATTTCATCTACTTCAATATCGCTAGGCATAGAATCCTCACTTTCTCCATTCTATTACTTCTATTTCTCTTATCTTATAACTATTACAACCATTACTTTATTATGTCAATTTAGTTTATTTGATTTATTCATATTATGTTAAGATGGGATCTTCATTTTCAAATTATTCTACTTCAAACTTCTTCACCTTTTTTGGTTCGGCTAATTCCTACTAATATTATTTTTATATGTCTTGCATATAAAAGTCTAATGGATCTAATTCATCATCTTATTCTTCCTCATTTCTTTACTTTTCTAATTCTCTTTTTCTCACTTATTCATTTGTCAACTTCTCATCATCATTGTCAAAATACTTTTATTCTGCAAAATCCTCTACTAATTATCTCTTCTGCATATATTCCCCTATTTTTATTATTAATTATTATGTTTAAATTAAATCCTAAAAAAGTACTTATCAAAACTCCTACCATTTATGATTATCAGGCTAATCTACCAGTTGAAGTAAATAAACCTATTTAATCTAGACTAGAAAAGCTATTGTTTTACATGTCATGAATAAACATCCTCAACTTAAAATCAAAGGAGGTAATACTATGACTAATCCTTACAAAATTCCTTATGAATTGGCAATTGCAGATTAAATAGAACAAATGGAAAAATATAAAAATTCTATTCTCTGGTCTCCAAGGATGACACCTAAAAAATTCACTTTTGCTTTTATCTATCCAATGGGATTTGCACTTGTTTTACTTTGGTATATTCATAATGTTGCCATCCCAAGAAGAATGGTTGAAATGAAAAGAAAATATGGATATGTCTATCCAGAATTAGAATCAAAAGGATGGCTAGATGGATGGTGGGATTATGAATAAGAAGAAACAGAATAAATTTTTGATATTATCAACATGGAATTCAAAAAAACAGAAGATAAAGTCAAAAACAAATAATATACTGATTTTACCATTTCTGATCTTCAAAATTTTGGCAACAAACCCACTTATGACAATTCTAAATAGACTTCTAATCTTACATAATCTGGAAAATAAATTATGTAAGTTAAAGAAAAATAAAAAATCCAATCCTAATTTGAAAAGATCTTTGAGCTACAAACAAAAACATCATCATAATGATTCTATCCTCCTGTATATTCAATTTTATTAATTAGTAATTCTTAAATTTCATTAATTAAATTGATTATTTCCTTTTATTAATTAATTATCAATGTCTTATAAAATTGATAAGTGCTCAATTCATAATCTTGATAAATTATACATTAACTTATAAAAAAACACCTAAAAATACATGAAAACAGAATGCCTTTAATGTATTTAGAAGGAATCAATTAGCATAGATGAATTATTAATGAAATTTAAATAATTGTCCGACAAGCCATCCAAAATTATTTAGCATCAATAAATATTTACTTTGCTTAAAACTATGGTTTAGTAATCACATTTTGTGTTACAATCAGTATAGTAATTGTGCAAGACAATATCAGAATATCAAGTCGAATGGTTAAAAATGTATCAATAACATGAAGATATATAGAAATTTTCTAAATCTACTTTTTATAATCAAGATGATTTGAGTAAAATTGCATAAATTACTTTAAATTCAAATTATGTGAATGTACCAAGTTTTGTATAAGATTAAGTTGAAAATTTTTAAAAACTAACAACTAAACTGCAATAAATTAATTTAATCTTAAGTTCTAATCCTCTTTTATTGAGAGGAAACCCTAAAATATCAAGCAATAATGAAAACTAACAAATAATATAATAATTTCATTAAGATTATGCTGCAGACTTCTAAGAATTTTCATAATTCAAAACAAATATTATTGTTTATGCAATAGCTTTTAGTTTTGACAATACAAAAATAGTAATAGGAGGTGGTAATTGTAATTAAAGTGAAAATAAAAATTTAATGGTTTTGTGCTTATGTGGTGATAATTTATAAAGTGAAAATATTTTGCTTGGACATTCAAAAAGAGTTACAGCAATATCTTATAGTAAAAAGGATCATTTTTTTGTTTCTGGTAGCTTAGATAGTACTATAAGATTATGGAAATTAGATATAAAAAATAAAGATTGGGAATGTATCAAATTATTGAATAAGCATACATCAACAGTATTAGGAGTAGCTATTAGTAATACAGATTAATAAATCATATCATGTGGACATGATTCTAGAATAATTATTTGGAAAAATATTAATAATGATTGGTAAGATTCTCAAGTATTATCTGATCATATTGCTGCAGTTAATAGTATAAGTTTTTCAGAGGATAATTTTTTATTAGCATCAGGAAGTGAAGACAGTAAAGTTTATATATGGAGAAATGAAAATTCAGAGTTTCATAAGTTTGATCAAATAAATGTTCCTTGTTAAAGCTATATTTATAGTGTTCAATTTATAAAATAAAATTCGCTTATTGTCGGTACATATGATGGTAATATTTCAATTTGGAAAATTAATTTAAATTCAGTAAGATATGAAATATGTTTTGAAAATAATCTTAAATTTGGTTACATTAAAAAAATAGTTTATAATTATTACTCATAATTATTAATCACAAAATGTGATCATAGAACTATTATTTGGAGAATAATCAACAATGAAAATATTGAAAAAATTAAAGAATATGAAGGGGAATACCTAGGAATAGGTTTATCATAAGGCCCATCTATAATTGTAATGTTTAATTGTGAAAAAAAATAGCTTGAATTACTTTAATAAAATAAATGAAATTATATTTTTGTATTATATTTTTATCAAATTATTATATCTGGAATTGAATTACTATCAGCTAAACGCAATATTTTTAAATATTCAAGCCTAAGTATTAATGGTTACAATACTTTGCCATATTTTTATCTTATAAATTATACTTCTAATTATTTATGTTTTCACCATATCGAATATACATTTCTAATTCGGATAATATTTGTAAGTCTTCAGCTTTTAATTGGATCTTGTTTCTTTTAACATCAAACACCATTTAATAAAATACTAAATCGAGCATATCCTAATCTTATTTACTAATTTAAAAAAATTCTTTGATTGTCAAATAAATATCAAATTTTTTATTTAACTTATAAACATTGTTATTAATTTCTTCATGAAATTCTAATTTGTTTAAAATATCAAAGAAATTAGCGGATTCATCAAGCCAAGATGTATTATAAATATTGTCGAATTTTGAATGTACAGCTAATAATCCAAAATGATTCCAATAGTTTTATAAACCTACATAATTGCATGCACTTTTAATAACTGATTTTACACTATAATGATGATCAACTTCAACCCAAATAGGTGTATCACTATGGATGAATAATTTGACTATAGATAATTTACATTCAAACATTAATTAAATTTCATCTGCTTTAGGAAGATATTTTCTAGGACATAATGGAATTTTGATTTCATTTTTAAATACTTGTTCATTTGTATTGACAGCAAAATTTTTAATTAACTACTTACAATACTTATATATTTCAGGATCCTTAAACAATTTATTTTCTGGATTCTCAATTTTATCCACTAAATATTGAATATATGGAATTGGATAATAATATGGTATACAATAAGTAATTACAATGCATAATCTCAACAAATAGTTTAAGTGTTCTTTCTTATTTCCTTCTATTTATTTAAATATTTATAATAAAACTTCTTCTCTAATTTCTTGATTACATTCAAAGTCTTCTTGATTGCTAAATCTTCTTCCAGCTGTTTCTAATTATATTGTTTTCTTTAATGCATCTATATCTATAGTTTAAGCTTTAAGAAGACTCTTAGGAGCAGGTGGTAACTCAATTACAGCATCATTCCCTATTAAAGCACATAAAATTTTCTCTAAATGCTATTTTATTGTTTAACGTGATCTTTTCATATGAGCAAATTTTGTTATACTCCTAAAAACATTTAATGCTGTTGTTTCATTTTATAACTTTGTTAAAGGATGCTTTAAATTTTCACTTTAACATTTCATTATTTTTTAAACTTGCTTGCCTTCATGATTTAATACTTATTAGCAATAATCATAAAATTTATGTTTTTCTAACTTTTATACAAATTCATTATCCAAAAAATAACTTAAATTCTTATCAGGAGCTGATCTTATATCTAAAATCCTTTTATTCATTTAACAATTATCATATATTATATATGGCTATGATTTTGGATTTGAAATCAATTTATGAATAATAAACGAAGTTTTTATTTCTAATTTCTTTTATTATGCTAATTATTCTTATTGTAATTATTTTAAAAGATTCATTTCTTCATCTTTTATTTTCTATTGAATAATTAACTTTTATTTAACAAACTTTTCATGTTCACTCTTTGTCATTACTTATGGTGATGCCCCAAAATATACTTTAAATCCTTAACTTTCTATTTAATCTAAAAAATCTTTCTTTTTTTATTTTTCTTTCTAATATTCTGCTTTATCCTCTAATGCTTCAAATGCACAATAATCAGAAACATCAATTATTTTCATCTATTTATACTTTTCTTTTGAATCATCACTTAACATTTCATATGATTCCAAATCAGAATGAAAAGTATTTGATATTAATTTTGCCTTAATTATTCTTCTATGAACCTATTTCTATTCATCATCCAAATAAGAATAAGCATTTTATTGATAATCTAATAATTAATCTTCATCTAGTAATTTAAATGCTTCATAATCTGAAAACTCAACCTTTTTTAAGTTATCCTTTTCTTATTCATAAATATTTATCTTCTCTTGTTGTAATTGTTACTTCTGTTGTAAACTATTTATATCTTCCCAATGATAAACTTATAGCTCCTTTAATTATTAATCTCTAATAGTCTTATCTTTTAATAACATATATGCTAAAGATATTTTTTTATAAACAATATCTTTATTCTATAATAATCTAAATGCAACGCTAGAATTAGGATGCAAATGGTTTTCAAACAATATTGGATTTATTATGTTTTTTAATAAAATTTATATTTTTTCCTTTTATTTTCTCTCATTTTTTTTCTCAATCGTTAAATTCATATAAGCTAAGGAATCATAACAAAAATTGCCTTATTCATTCATTTTTTTCTTACTTATATAATATTCACTTAATTATTGTTTTCTTAATTACCACTCCTTCTAATTTAAAAGCTTAAAGGCAATAGAATCTAATAAATCATATCTAACCAATCCTAATTCATCTAGTCTTTATTATGCCTATAATCTTAATTGATATAATTCTTCATATTTTTAAATATTTGCCATTTATTTTGCTATTCCTGTTTAACCTTCCTTTTTTAATTGAATATATATATTAACATCCTCTATAGAAAGATAAGCCTCAATATCGGATATGTCATTGCATAATTTTAATTATTCTTTGTATTTATTATATATTTCTTTATTTTCTAGCAATTTGAAAGATTCTGAATCTGATACTTCTACATCTACCCCAAATCTTGCTCTACTTTATAATATCTTTAATGGTTTAAGTTTTTCTTTTTCTTTTTTATACTTTTCCTTTTATATAGGCTCAAGTAAAAGAAACGCTTCATAATCTGATAAAGGATCATCAACTAAAAACTTTTTTTTTTAAATTTATCTTGGATGTTGTTAAACTAAATATTATCTTCTGTTTTATTATTACGATTCACTCAATAATGATAAGGCAACATTTTTTTAATTTTAGAGTTTCTTCTTCTTGTATTCATTTTATTATCCAATTGTTAATTATTTAAATGCTTCTAAATCACTTAAAAACGGTTCTAATTAATCATAATACTTTTATTTAAAATCTTTTATTTTATTTAATCTTCTTTATTATTTTATTTTTAATTATTAATTTTGATCCAATAATCGATATGCAACTTAATTTTAATTTTATTTTTTCATTATTAAATACTGAAACTTTTATTCTAATGTTAATAATTAAAATGATTCAGGATCAGAGGCTTCAGTTTAAATTGCCTCTAATTCCTTCATCTATTACTCTATTTTCTTCTTATTTATATTATCTTTTCTTTGATTTTATTACTCTTCAGTTAATAGACTATAAGCTACATCTGAAACTTCTTCGTAAATTTAACCATTTATCAAACTATGCTATTTTTTTTTTATATGGTCTTTTTTCAAATTTGTATATTCTTATAACTAACTTTTATCCAGAAGAATATATGATTCATCATCTGAAATTTAAATAATAATTTCTTCATCTTTCTCCTCCTTTAATTAGGATTAACTTTATTTTCTAATTTCATTTTGTATCTAAATTAATTCACTTTCAGATATGATCTGTGATTCAATTGATTTAGTTTTAGCAATTTTCTTAACACAAGCTAAAATAACTTTTCTAAATTGTCGAATTCGATAAGCTCTTTAAATAATTTTAGCAAATATGCTTAATTTTAAATTGTGATTACATAATAACTTATTTAAATTTTCAATTGCATCTTTTTTAAAATACACTTAAGTTTACCCAAATAATAAACCTTTTGATTACACCAATCGTTTACATATTTCAGTTACTAATGCTTTCATATCTTAGTTACTATTAATATGCTTTTAAAGAGAAATCTTTCTATTAAATATATCAAGATGGTGGTATCTTTAATAAAAATCATTAAATGTTAATCGATATGGATAACTATTTTTAAAAAATTTAATTGAATCAAAAATTCTAAATTATCCTAAATCTTATTTTCTTTATATAACTCTTATAAATAACATCTAAGTGTCTTTGGTCATAATATTACTCAATTTTGCAATATTAGGAGGAATTTAGATTTTACTTTCTATTTCCTCTAATATAAATAAATTATCTTCAAATGAGATCTACTTGTTTAATTCATGCAATTAATCTTATATTAATTAATTCTAACAATTCTTAAATACACTTTAAATATATATTTGTTCAATTTTTTCAGAAATATACTCTGTTAATTAATCTGACTTTCCTGGATATTCCAAAATACTAATCATCTAGATATTATCATTTAATGGAACAAGACCATTGATAATCAAAATTATTTTTTCAAACATATTTTAAAACTATTAAGCATTTTCAATTTTCTCAGTTTAGATCAATTTTAAAATTTCAGGATTTTTTAAGTCTTCCCATTTTTAAGTAAAAAATTAAGCATTTTTATACTCTGCCAAATTGAGATGATATGATTAAAATAATAGTCCAATTAGTCTTCTTTATTTATAAATGAATCTATAATTAATCACTCCTTGAGTATGACCAAGAGTATCTGTTATAAATGATTTTATTAGATTGTAATATATGATTGTATCTTTATTAAGGAAATTAATCATATCATTAATAATTTATGTTTTACCATATCCTTTATTTCCTGTTACTATTATCTATGAATTTTTCCCAATATCTAAATTATGAAAAGCATAAAATAAAGTAGAAAATATATGAGGTGGAATTTAACTGACAATCAACCTTTCATCAATGTATTTTTTATATTGCACAAAATCTGCTAAAGATGTGTTAACATTTTACAAAAGAATCTACCTATCTAAATATACAGTATTTTTTATTTTAAATAAGATTTCTGGTTCACTTATATGTGGCAATTCAGTTAAATCTATACTTTTACTATTACTTGCTTTTAAAATCTAATTAACAGGTACATCTATAATTTTATTCTCTGCCAAAATCACTCTAGCAACACTTCTTTAATTAAGTAGTTTTTAAATATGACCTCTTGCATAGTCCTCTTCTATAGAAACCCAACAAAGTGCACCATCAAGCATCCATGCTGTGTTGGTGTACATTATATTTTATATTTTTGATTAATTCAAATAAACTATGGGAATGATAACAAATTTAAAATTTCTTTTTTTTATATATTCACTATAATTTGAGATAGAATGAATCAATCAGATCCAAGTCTTCTTGGTTTCTTAGAAATATATATTTCTTTATAGATCGTATTCATAATTAGACTTATCATACGAGGTTTTTCTTCTTTTTCTGATAAAGCTACTTAGGTTTATCTATTTAATTCTTTCAAATAATTTTAATTAATCTAATTTAACAACTCTTAGATTTCATTATTTTTTTTTGTCTATTAAGCTAAATATTTTAAATAAGGAGCAACAGCCTATTAGGGAAGTAGATTTTTGATGATGGCTGTTTTATTATTATCAGGTTCATCATTAAAAATTTAAGGCAAAATATTAATTTTATTCCATTAAACCTTCTCCCAATCAAATTTCTAGGGAATTTCATTAGTATATCTTTCTAAATATAAATATACTAGAATTGATCCTACAATTAAACCATTTCTATGAACAAATAACAAGACTTCTGAATTATCTTAAGATGGATGATACTCCCATGCTCTGAAAATCATCTAATTAACAAATATTCTCAATAGAGTCAATCCTTCTATTATCATTAATTATATGGATTCACTTATCTTTCCAATCTAACCAATTGTGTTAAATCTTATCCTTTCAGCCTCATATTTAATAAAAAAATCAAGTGGTGGAAATTAATTTGGAATACATATTGATCTTAAAAAATCAAAAAATAATGGACTAAGATTTTCTGGTTTCACTGTTAATATTTTAGTTAAAAACCTAGTAATAAAACCAAAGATTTTTTCATATTTAGCTTAATTCTATTTGTCTCTTCCTATTTCCACTTTAAAGTCCATTTTATTATTCATAAAATCGATCATCTATGATTCTAGGGCTCTTTCATATTCTCCTAAAAGATAATCCAATAAATTAGGAATATCTGCATCTCTCTCTCTACAAATTTTTAATTTCTTTGAAATTTCAGAATTTAAGGTTTTTATATAATATGAGATGAATATTATTGAAGCTTTAAAAATTCTAAATCTCTTTGAAGAAACAGGTAATTTTTTTTTAGGTCTCCTGATTAACTTTTATTGACTTGAATGAGAGCTGCTATTCATGATACTATTATTTGATAATTTAGATTTATGTAATGAATTTTTAAATTCTTCTTTTATTTTTTCCTCATCTAGTTGTTCTTATTATTTATAAGGTATATATTTATCATATTAATTAGATATAAGCAATTTAGAAAGATCTTTTTATTATTATTATTTTTACATTTCTTATTATTATATATGTTATTATTGTTATTATTATTAGTATTATTATTATTAGAGTTATTATTAGTATTATTATTAGTATTATTATTATTATTGTTAGAGTTATTATTAGTATTATTATTAAATTGGATATTAGTAAGAATATTGATTTAATTAGGATTATCCTAAAGAAGATAATCGAGAATTAGTATATGTATCATGAGGATAAAGTATTTTATCTCCAGGTTTTTAAATAGGTTTAGGTTTGCCTTAAAATAAAATTGAATAGTATACCTAAATTCATAATATTTTCAATTCTTTATTGTCGAATTTCTTATTAAATTTTAGATCTTTAGAAATCAAAACCCATTTAAATTTATGATTCAATTGGCCATGGCATCATTGTAAATGGAATAGGGATGACTGGCTATTTTGATATTATTATTTACCATTCCAGGTTGAGCAACAGGAATACTATCTAAAGATGATCTATTAAAAACTGATAATGGATGTTCATATTAATTGAAATGCTTTGAATATAATACAATGTCAATACTTATGGTTAATATTAGACTTAATAAGCTTTTTTATTTCTGGCTCTCTCTTCTTCTTTAGAATATCTCAATTTTGCTAATTCTAATCCATATAATAATTATTAATCTTGGAGATTTTACATTTTTAATAATCATATATTTAGAAAATCAAAATTAATTCTTTTTAGTTAAAATCGAGTCTTCAGAATCAAGATTATAAACAATTCCTAAAACTCCATTATTCATAGCATAACATCTCCATTTTGGATCATATTCATCTGGAATTTTAAATCTTAGATCAAAAGGACCAGATCTCCTTTCTTATTTAATATATGTTGCTTTATTAGTATACATAGAGATCTTTTTATGTCCTCGTACAATAGTTGAAACATTCTATCTATAAATTTCAACATCTTCCAAAGAAACACCCGGTAGATCAATAAGTATTATATATTAATTTCCCTGAATAATATCTATTTATGGTTCATATTCCTCGCCATCATCATTACCTATATCAATAGGTGTCGAAATGAGTTTCGCTGATGATAAAATCTAAGTAAATTTAGGGGATGTTGCTTATTATTTTACAACTCTTTTTTCATTTGGTAAATGTGTATCTTAGATTGTGAGTTTGATTTACTTTTTTAAGAGTGTACTCATTTTCAATTCACAAACTTCTACAATATCATCATATTTTAATATTTTTTTTTGATGAGGCACAACTACAAGTTTAAGCCAATATTTCAGAAGACTATAAGTCCATGGATTAATACTCTTGCCCAAATCAGAATTGTCATTAACAATACAAATATGTCTACTTGTCTCTGTGTTAAACCATAAAACTGATTTCTCTTCTAATTGATTTGTAAAAGGATTCATAGCCTCTACAGTTGATTTCTATATGTTCCCTTCTAATATTTTTTCAATTTAGACTTACCAAACATGTTGAATAAGATTTGGATTTGTTATATCCTTCAGATTGTGTATCACAATTATTTCCTTAAACTGTTTGAGAGAAGTGCTCAATTTACGTGCTAATTAATCTAAATATCTAACTTCTATGCTTGTAAAATCATTAACAACACAAATGAAGTAATCTGTTAATTCAAATGAAATTTCAAGGATTGCATTTTCTACTTATTATTTCTCTTTTAGATTTTTCAGATTTTCTGGTGCATAACTACCTGCAGTATCTATCAACACAAATTAATTGTTCTTATCAACTATACATTATTTGAAACTAATTCCTTTGGTTGTAATTTTAGAACCAGTGGGTAGATTTTGATTTGTTAATTGATTTAGTATGTGCGTTTTACCTTTATCATATAAACCAAGAACTGCAACTCTAGCCCCTTTAAGTTCATTGTTATTCAACAATAACTTGAAATAGTGGAATAACAACTACCTTCCATGATGAACTCATGTTTATATCAAGTACCAAATCATATATTTGAGTATCAATTATATTATACTCTTGGATTGATGGTTTATGATCATTCGTTATAATATTTGGTATTTCATTGCTTTTTTATAGAATCGAAGGATCATTCAATTAACCAATAATACTTAAGGTTTCTTCACATCTTATTTTCAGTTCATAATGTAATGCCTCATAAAGATCAAAAAATTCATTTATTGATTACATTTTCCTAAACATTTCAGCAAAAGTATCCAAGAGATCCAAGTTCTCCTTCAATAGATTTCCCAAGATCTATAAGCAACTACGGAATGCATCTTAGTCCTTAATTACATCAATTCCTTTACTAATTTAATATCACCTTCTGATGGAGAACTCATACTACGTAAAACGAAATTTATTAATTAATATAAATATATATATGTTTTTAAACTCTTATGAGTTTCTAACTCATTAGATTTATGCTATTTTCTAACAACTCTCTACAAATTAATTAGATATTTATTTATCTGACAATATATAGCATTTTATTTGCTCATGTCTGTCCCATCAAGAAATTCAAAAAGAAGTTTCATTTCCTTCATATATCTTTAGATCATACAAGCACTACACAATAAGGTCTTCCAGGACCAGCTAGTTATGAACCTAAAATAGAGGTTTCACATGCAAATGCACCCAAATGGACCATGAGTGGAACTTAAACTAGGGAAATTCCTATTATTAAAAACCTTCCAGGACCAGGATAATATGATCCTAAATTACCTGCATCTTCAAGGAAAACTTTAATTTATGGCAAAGCTTATTAAATCGATAAAGAATCAAAATTGAAGCCAGGTCCAGGTACTTATTAAGTCGAAATCTCCTAATTATCTAGAATAGGGTTCAAAATTGGCAGTGAAAAAAGATATAAAGACGAAAAGAAATTATCACCAGGACCTGGCGATTATCAAATAAACACTAAAAATCATGTTACTTCATATAAAATTGGACAATAAACAAGATCAGGAAAAATATATACTAATCATGTTGGTCCTGGTCAATATGAAATTCCTTCCTTATTAAAGACAGATGGTGGATTTAAAATAGTACCCCGTCGAGAGAGGACAATTTCTATGATTACACCTGGTCCTGATGCATATGAATAGTTTAGGTAAGAAAGAGTAAAATCATTTAAAATTGGGATGAGTAAAAGAGAGGGAATCTTTTAGAAGTCTAATTCTCCTGGTCCTGGTGATTATGATGTTTAGGCAATCAAAGAAAGCGTTGGTTATACAATAGGTAGAGGTTAACGAGATGATACTAAGCTTGAGGTTCTTCCTGGACCAGCAAGTTATAAGCCTCATAAACCTAGTAACGCACCCAAATATTCTATCTATCAAAGATATAGAGAAAAAACAGATAATTAAGGTCCTGGACCATAATCTTATACTATTGGGGAATTTAGAGAAACTAAAAGTATTATATTTGGGCAGGCAAAAAGGGATAGTTACAATAAGATATAGATACCCGTATTCTCATTCATATTATTCTAGGGACCTGGTGAATATGAAACAGATCTAAAATCTAAAAAACCACAAGTGAGTATTGTATTTGGAAGAGAGAAAAGATCTTAGAGTTGTTATGAAAATACGAAATTACCTGGACCAGGTACATATGATATCACATCCACTTTTTTTGTCAAAAAGAAATGATTCAATAAGATTCGAATAATAATTGTTCACTTTTTAAATGTGTTTTCAAAGTAGTATATATATTTATTTACTTTCACTTTCGAAACTAAAAGTTAATCTATAATTACCATTGAAGGTATATTTTAATTAGAATGCGGGAAAATCAATGTAGAAATGATTTTGCTTGAAAACTTTAATTTTCTCATCTTATAACTATAAGAATTAATTAAATTATGGGCTCGGTGTGTTAGAAGGGTGATACTATAGTTAATTGGCCATGTAGAAGTAATCCTAGAGGTTCTAATCCTAAAACAACATTCACAGTAATTCCTGAAGAGGAATCTGCTATATACTCTTAATATGATCGGTCAGTTTTTACAGCTAGCCAATTTTACCAGAATCCAGATAGTTAAGTATTAGAGTCTTGTTAAAATAGAGATAAACAGTAAATTTGGGAAATACAATTGATAAGGATAACAAACTTTAAATTTTGAATGTATACATATCTAAACTACTCTCTTCTCATTCGATAAAGTATAAAGATAATTTATTGTGAGACTTACTAATACTAGAAACCATGCATATGAAGTATCTTTAACTAATATTAATCCTGAATTGTGTTGCTATTGTGAATGGCATTTAGAAGCAGACAAGTTGCCAATT